TCGACGGGCCTATGTCTCATTTTAGGGTATTATAGCAGTGTGACTGTTCAAATAACCCCACAAAGGGCTTTCATTTGATAAAGCAGACACCCCAGGGTATATGTATGTCAATGTTTGTAGTGAGGCGGGGGGGAGGGGGGTGGCATTTTTACATATATGTTGCATTTTTGCTGAGTAGTTCTTACACTTGATATGTACCACTCTCATAAAAATCCCCAAATTATGCTCAGTTACATCGTCTGAGTAAAACAATATGCCCAATGTATGACCTAGACATTATTTTGTGAAGTTACAGTGCTGTAAAAGAGACGTGACAAGTTCAGGTTTTTAAGTGTGAATTTTCATGGAGGGTTTTGATGCGTTCGTGTCCCACTTTGGCTACATATTACAACTACACCATAAAGGCATACCATTTCTTAAAAAAAGACATCCCAGGGTATTTTCAAAAAGCTTATTTTGAACCTTAGCGTAGGATAATTTTTCCGCTAGATTGCACCAAGTGTAGTGGTAATAAGCATTATTTAGCCTTTTTGACACACAAAGTGAGTTTGCACAGTATATTTTGCAAACCTTATGCGTGCTACGACTGTATAATACTTAATATGTTTAAGTTAAGTCATCTGAGTACAGCAATACCCCCATGTGTACCTTTGCCAGGTATATGTGGACATGGAAGGGGCAAATTTGAGACACAGTCATTCCAGTTTTTTTCTGACTTTGACTGGTTGGTTATTCAAACTTCCCCACAAATACATACCATTTATTAAAGAATACACCCTGGGGTAATTCAAAAGGCATATTTTGAACTTTAGCGTGGGATCATTTTTTCTCTAGTTTGTTCCAGGTGTAGTGGTAATGAGCATTTTTAAATGTATTTTGGACTTTTTTAAACTTTTTTTTACAGATTTAACATTTTTATAAACTTTTTTTTACTGTTTTACTAACCGTAAGTTCCCCATAACTCCCACCCAACCAATCTAGCAAAATATATAATTTTAAAATAGTTAAATTAATGAATTAAATAAATTGAACCCCTGAGGGTTAAAAAAAAATGAAAAGTTAACCCTAAGGGGTTTAAAAAAAAAAAAATCGTATCACAGTAAAATGTAGTCCCTGCCAATTGATCACTGTAGTCAGAAGGAGGTCGTATGACCAGGATCTTGGGATTACTCATCACCGGGTCATGTTAGGTGGTGTGGGATCAGGGGGTTGCGCTGGCAGCAATGTTATCTGGAGTGATCGCTTCAGCCAGGGCTCGAGTCCTGCAGGAACGCATGGGAACGGCGTTCCTGCACTTTTTCCAAAGCAGGAACGCCGTTCCCGTTACCTGTCCTGCAGGACCGGCCCTGCTCCCTGCACAGACACACAGAACCAGCAGCACACACACACCCATCATCCAGCACCCACACACACATCATCCAGCACCCCCACACACACATCATCCAGCATCACACACATCATCCAGCACTCACACACACATCATCCAGCACTCTCACACACATCATCCAGCACTCACACACACACATCATCCAGCATTCACACACACACATCATCCAGCACTCACACACACATCATCCAGCACTCTCACACACATCATCCAGCACTCACACACCCATCATCCAGCACTCTCACACACATCATCCAGCACTCACACACCCATCATCCAGCACTCACACACACACATCATCCAGCACTCACACACACATCATCCAGCACTCACACACACGTCATCCAGCGTGCACACACACATCATCCAGAACACGCTGCATTCATTATACACACTCTTCACTCACTACAAACACACTACATTCACTATACACACTCTGCATTCATTATACACATTCTGCACTCACTACACACTACATTCACTATACACACTCTGCATTCACTACAAACACACTACATACACTGCATTCATTGTACACACTCTGCACTCACTACAAACACACTAAATTCATTATACACAATTTGCACTTACTACAAACACACTACATTCATTGTACACACTCTGCACTCACTACAAACACACTACATTCACTATACACACTCTGCATTCATTATACACACTTTGCACTCACTACAAAAAAACACTACATTCACTATACACACTGCATTCACTATACACACTGCACTCACTACAAACACACTACATTTATTATACACACTGCACTCACTACAAATACACTACATTTGTTATACACACTCTACACTCACTACAAATACACTACATTCATTATACACACTCTGCACTCACTAAAAACACACTGCATTCATTATAAACACTCTGCACTCACTACAAATACACTACAATTATTCACACTGCACTCACTACAAACTACATTTATTATACACACTGCACTCACTACAAATACACTACATTTGTTATACACACTGCACTCACTACAAATACACTACATTTGTTATACACACTGCACTCACTACAAATACACTACATTCATTATACACACTCTGCACTCACTAAAAACACACTGCATTCATTATACACACTCTGCACTCACTACAAATACACTACAATTATTATTCACACTGCACTCACTACAAACACACTACATTTATTATTCATACTCTGCATTCACTACAAACACACTACATTCATTATACACACCCTGCACTGCACTATATGCATAGGAGTGTAATTTTTTTTTTTTTTAAGGGGGTGGAGGCGGGAATCTTGGGTGAGTTCCCACACCTTTTTCCCCAGGACTTGACCCCTGGCTTCAGCGATATGTGATGGAACCAGTTATACTGCTGATTCTGCTGATCCACGCTGGTGGCAATTACCTGGGTCAAGAGCACGCAACGCAAAAAGGGGTATAGTGAGGTGGATGTCGCTTCAACATGACAATATCATCATTCGTACAATGCTTTGGTGGATTGGTGATTCCTCATGTTGAACTAGAAGGAGATAACCAGAATTCTTTGCGTACTAATTTGCTACATCTTACTCATGTCAGTTTGGATACATTTAATATGGGGTTACAATCAATAATTACACAGGCGCTGGCTTTGGGGCACGCACCTGCCCTCCCTCTAGTAGGGGTGGGGATCTGCGGTGGCGGGTTTCCTGTCTCCCTGTTACCATCATGGATGCCGGAGCTGCCTGCCACTATCTCTACTATATTGACATTTTCAACAAGCTAGTATGTGAAAGAACGGGCACTCTGGGAGGAGTTCAATGTGTATTACAAGTAAATTATTGTATCATGTCACCTACTTCAAGGTATCTACACTGATCAGCCACAACATTAAAACCACTGACAGGTGAAGTAAATAACATTGATTATATTGTTGAATTTCATGTGTTAGAAGCAGGAAAAATGAGCAAGCGAAAAGATCTGAGTAACTTTGACAAGGGTCAAATAATGATCGCTAGACGACTGGGTCAGATTATCTCCAAAACATCAAGTCTGGTGGGGTGCTCCTGGTATGCAGTGTGTAATAACTACCAAAAGTGGTGCAAGGAATGACAAGCAGGGAACTGGATTATGGGAACCCAAGGCTCATTGAGGCATGTGTAGAGCAAAAGCTAGCCCGCCTAGTCCGATCATACAGAAGAACTGCTGTAGCTCGAGACCCGGCACCGTGTCAGCCCCGCACCCGGCTACGAAGGCACACTTGACAAAGGCACGGCTACACACTCTCACGCCCCACTCACCAGGGCACTGAGGCAACTTCCGAGCTATGCCTCATCCATCCTTCACGAGACCCTGATGGGAGATGGGACCCCCATGTAGGCACCCCCCCCCCCACACTAGACATCCCAAACCGAGCATACCCCTCTAATGGACGACACAATGGCAGACCCACGATACCTACCTGAACGACAGAAATACATAACCCACGATATGCCGAAGAGAAGTGGGCAACTAGCTCGGTCAGGCACACGACCTATAGACAGCACACACAAATATCATCACTTGACAACGGACCACACAATCAGTTTCACTAACTAAATATAAAAATACGTGCTCTGAACATAACCACTACATTATGTACCTGCAAATGACAATTATTTAAATGTTCCCTCAAAATGTAAAAGATTTGCTTTTTGTTACATGCAGCACGCAAAAAATAAAGAATTAATAAAAAATAAAAATATAAGATGGAAGGTGTAATCAACCTAGAATTCTTACAGTCATACCTATCCTCCAGGAATAGAAACAAAAAAACATGGGGAACGGATGTATAATCTAAGAGAGAAAACAAAAAATAGTATGATACTGTTATAAATTATATATTTGCGCTAATAATCATTGCACACACAGAATCGAAGGTAAAAGCATTCAAAGGGTGCCTCCCCAGATGGTATTGGGGGGCTGTAAACCCACGCCTCGGTCCATGTATACTCCTTTAAGAACAGGAATCCAGAAGATGGGGGTTAACAATATATTCTGCTTTATTTGTAAGTAAAAGGTGAACATGCACCAATAAAATTAAAAACAGAGGTTGGTTCTACGTGTTTCATCCAAATACACTTGAACCTAAAAGCAATCTGTATAACAGTAGCATGCAAAATGACATACAAGAATAAAAGCAGGGGGCGGAGCCTGACCTCTGAGCCGTGCTGACGCGTCTGCCACGAGCTCCTACCAAGCGGGCACAAACCGGGGCAAAAGCAGCGGCTGCTTAGCCCAAAGCCACTCAGGGGTGCACCACCCACGTCAGCGGTGCCCCCCGGAATCCAACGCTGCCACCCCGGAGCCTGTCGAGGCCAGGAACACAGAGACACAAATGCGGAGTACTGCGGCTGAAGCCGGGGAGAAGCGGCCGCTCTCCTCGGCACGAGAGCCCTTAAGCGACTACTCTTTGAGCTACCCCCCTTTGGACCAGCGGGGGATATCCCGGTCCCCACTGGACACAACGGTCAGGAAGGCAAGCAGGTGATCCGGCCACAATCCATGTTGGGGGAACTGACCTACGGGGCAAACCCAAAATGGCCGCCCAGCACACACACAGAGCGCAGAACACCCAGGTCTCCTATGGAGACATTCGACCGCCTATGCACAAGCTTCAAGGATACCCTGCTGAGCAGAGGAGCGACCTACAGCCAAGCAGAGTCACTGGTGACCAAGTGGATACGGCCTGCAGCACGACACAGCTATTATAAGCAGACACCATGTGCATCCAAAATGGTTGTCCGGCAATATAGATACCAGCCGGCCCAGAGATGGAAAATGGTGGCAGGCATGTCGGGCTCACTCTTCCGCCTGCAGATTAAAACACCCGGGATTACAAAGCAAATTACGCAAACCAGTACCTCACCTGTCCAACACCTCGGCATCCAGCGCAGCAAGAACCGACTCTACACAAAAAAACGATGCCACACAAAAGACTGCGCGGCAACATACTCCACAAGGTAACGCCGGACCCGGCCCCAGAAGTGGCACCAGCAAGCCAAGGGACAACAATGGAGAGACAGAGAGGGACAAAATCCGAGATTTACCAGCACTAGGTATTGGCTGAGGCACCCATTATGCCGCCCTACACAGGTATTCTTAGCCTGGACTGCTCCGAGCCCTCATAATAATGAAGCACCCAGACTCAGATGCCTCATGCATACCCTATGCAGACTATAAACCCATGCCAGCATTCATCTGTGATCAACATGATATCAATGGCTACACTTGTTCCCAGTGGTTTAGTACTTAGTAATAATCCGTTGTGCCACAGGGCAATCCTGTACAGAGAGATTAGTGATGTTACTCTATAATATAGGCAAGTTTTAGCACTGTTATTCATAATACGATGCCTCATAGCCTAAATACTCATAGCATAACGTTTCTATGCATTATTTCATAACTAGATACTGCTCTGCCACAAAACGTGCTCACACTATATCGACTTTAGCATAGATGAACTAGCAAGGTTACGCATCTAGCATCTTTATTTTATTTAATTTCATCCTACTCTTACAAACTAACTGTTTAATTAAGCATGCAAAATTTAAAAATGTGCGAATCATCATGCCACTGTTTATCTTTTATGAAGCTTGTAATACGCTGTTGTGGCGTCCGTTGAAATCTTGTAACCATCTCCAAAATCAAAAATAAAGAGTTAAAAAAAAAAAAAGAATAAAAGGAGCCTAACCTAAGTTCATTGTTGGATCTGTGGGCGTGTGTTTTCCTTTGAGATGCGATGAGTTGTTTCACCTGTGGGTCTTTAATCTTCATCTTTCCCGGCAGGTGTGCGGACGTCTGTTGTAACCCGAAACTGGAAATGTATTGACCTCGGCACTTCCGTGCGTTCCATCTGTGGTTTATGATAGGAATCAATATGGCCGTGTGTTCCACCGGTGGTACTAGGGGAGCAATGTGTGATCCCTGGTGGTGACTGAATAGTATACACTATCTAAAACATGAAGCATGAGTGAAAGTCCTATTATGGATCTGCTAAAAAAAAATGAAGATTACTCCCACATAGTGACACAATATATAAACGTATTCTGACTGTAAAAGAAAACAGAACAAACAGTGCAAACTCCCTTCTAATTTAACTTTGATTTAGCAATAATATTTCCGTGAAGAGTGAGTTGTTTAAAAGACCTTTCCTGTCTCAATATGATAATAATAATTAAAATGTGAATTTATCTCTTTATATAAGTGACCAGTGATACCTAATTACTGGTGTAATTATTCAAATAAAATGAATAATATGTTCTCTATAAAATTAATAAATAAATGAATGTATATAGCCACACATACATATTTTCATCATAAAGGTTCATCTTTATTAGCTGATTCAAACTGAATTCAAATAGCAATATGTCGCTAAAAGAAAGTCTTTAAAAGAAAATAGGGGGCATGAATTGCAGTGAACTGGGACTGCGTGTGTCCTCAAGTTCCTTAGAATATTACCTTTATGTTCTAAAACCCGAACTTTGAAAGCTCTCTTCTTATGGCCTACATATTGTTTTCCACACGGACACTGCAGCAGATAAACTACAAAGTCTGTGTGTTATCCAATGGCAGATTTAATACGAAATTGGTCACCTGTAACAAAACTAATGAATTGGTTTGTTTTTTGGTGTGAGTGTTGGGAGAAATGTGTATGTGTGTATATGTCTGTAAGTGTATGTGTGTATGTGTCTGTAAATGTGTATGTATGTGTGTCTGCAAGTGTGTGTGTGTGTGTCTGTAAGTGTATGTGTGTGTCTGTAAGTGTGTATGTGTGTGTGTGTCTGTAAGTGTATGTGTCTGTAAGTGTGTGTCTATGTGAGTGAATGTGTGTGTGTTGGTCAGTGAGTGTGTGCGTCTGTCAGTGAGAGTGTGCGTCTATCAGTGTGTGTCCAAGTAATAGTGTGTGTGTATGTCATGGTTAATCAGTGTATATGAGAGTGTGTGTCTGTCAGTGACTGTATGCGTCTGTCAGTGAATGTGCGTCTGTCAGTGAGTGTGTGTCTGTCAGTGTGTGTGTGTCTGTCAGTGTGTGTGTATGTCATTGTTTGTCAGTGTATATGAGAGTGTGTGTCTGTCAATGAGTGTATGCGTCTGTCAGTGAGTGTGTGCGTCTGTCAATGAGTGTGTGCATCTGTCGGTGAGTGAGCGTCTGCCGGTGAGTGAGTGTCTGTCGGTGAGTGAGCGTCTGTCAGTCAAAGTGCGGCCTTGACAGGAAGGGGTGGGAAAAATTTAAATTAGGGGGGGAGGGTGCCTGAGCACCGTCCTACCTAGGGCAGCACAAATCCTAAATATACCACTGCCTAAGTCTAAATAAAATTATAGTTTGGCACAAAAAAAAGTAGATTAAGACATTGTCACTATTTGTTTGCAAACTGTCCTTGAAAAGATTTTTGAAATTACAGTTAATAAATACACTAAAGACCAATGTATTTTTTTTTTTTACTTCCTATGTGTGCTGCTGTACTTATCTGATTTCAGTTAATATGTCATGCCTCTTTCTTAAAAGATAAAGCTAAGATTTGAACTGAAATCATGGCATTTGTTCACTAAAGGTTTTAATTTCTAAACTATGAATTGTGTACAATTGACAAACGACAAAGATATTGTACATTATTTTGGCCAAAAGAGACATACGGGACAAAATCTCAAACAGCTACCTTTTATAGTTCAGCTGTTTTGGCTTAAAACACAATTCCCGTTTCAGTTCCTTGTTTAGAATTTAAAGCTCTTAGCAATACATTAGAAACAAATTGTAAAAAAAAAAAAAAAATGTAAACAAATATTGCAGTTAGGGATGCAGATGAGTTTTAAAATGCTCTAATTTAACTAGTATGGCTTTAGATTTGCAAATTTAATAAGCAAGATGTAAGTACAGGATAGCTGAAGTGAAAGCACATCAAATAATGTCCCCAGTGCTACACTGTTTAAATGTGCATGAGGGCTTTAACAGTGATGTACTTGTACTATTGGACCCTTTTTTGGACAGATCTGCCCCACCCCAAAAAATAAACTAGTATAATGAGGAGGCCTACTATGTTTTCTTCTTGCAGGTAATAATTGTACAATCTTTAGAAAAAAATAAACAGGCTTTGCATATGTATAGAAAAACAGCAAAACAAACAAATCTGTGTCTCCCTCTATACAATGATTAAAGTTATGCATGCCCCCTTCCCTGTGATTGGTTGGCTGGCTGTCATAGGCGTGCGCAGCCTATTGCATTAGGGTGTGCACCCTAAAGCACAAACACACGCCGCATGTGTATATATGTATATATATATATATAATACATATACATACATATATATATATATATATATATATATATACACACATACACATACACACATATATATATATATATATACACACATACACTGCTGTGTGTGTGTGTGTGTGTGTGTGTGTGCTGTGTGAGGGTGCTATTAGTGTGTGATGTGTGTGTGAGGGTGCTGGTAGTGTGCTATGTGGGTGAGGGTGTTTGTGTGGGTGCTGGTAGTGTGCTGTGTGTGAGTGTTTGTGTGCGTGTGTGTTTGTTAGGGTCCTGTTACTTTGCTGTGTGTGATGGTGCCGTTTGTGTGATGTGTGTGGGTGTCGTGTATTTGTGAGGGTGCTGTTTGTTTGTGTGTGTGTGTGTGTGTGTGTGTGTGTTTGTGAGGGTGCTGTTAGTGTGCTGTGTGTGAGGGTGTTGTGTGTTTGTAAAGGTGCTGTGTGTGTTTGTGAGGGTGTGGTTAGTTTACTGTGTGTGTGAGAGTGCTGTATGTGTACTGTATGTGTGTGGGTGCTGTTTGTGTGAGGGTGCTGTATGTGTGTGCTGTATGTTTGGAGGGATTGTGGAGGTGGGGGCAGATTAGTAAATATCCCCCCTCCCTTCTTACCTTATGTAGGGAGACGGGATCCTTGCTGCCATGTGCCATCCCTGGTGCTCCAGTGGAGAGTGAACTCTTGCTTATAAGTATATCCCAAAAAATACAAACAATAAATAATATAAAAAGCAATAATACTTAGCTTATAAAGATGTATGACAGCCTCCCTAGGTCGTTACCCAAACAAGCGACCTATATCATATATAGTATAAACCAAAACAAAGAAGATTCGGGATATGGCTGTGTAAATCTACAGAGAAAGCATAAAACAAAACATAGTGTGATATTGTTATAAAACACAATATTTCATGCGCAGTAATCTTGTGCACTCACAGGATGTAGACAGTAAAAGCGCTCTTAAGGTGCCTTCCCCAATGAAATGGGGGGCTAGCTGGTATTCCTTATCACCTCTGGATCCTTGTTCCACCAAAAGACATCCACAGGTCAGGGTTCAATAATAAAAAATTTATTTAGATAAAAAGTGTAGTCACCATTTCAGCATAGGATATAAATAACAAAAGGTTGTCCTACGCGTTTCGTTCTATAAGAACTTCCTCAGGGACCACAATTAAAAACAATAATAACAATGTATCAATGTACAATACATGAACATATCCTATACAAATCCCCCCTCCCTGTGTCCTTAAATAGGGCTAATCCCTAAACTCTATTGGTGGATCCAGTAGGTGTGTAAATCCTCCCTGATTCTAATTGGAGGACTAATCTTCCTGTGGCAGCTGTTTTTCATCCATTCATCTTCCATAATTTGTAATTCGCGCCTTTTTCGGCAAATACCGGAAGTAGTCATAATTTCCCGAAACCGGAAGTGACGTCGCGGGAACGTCCGCGTTCCACATGCGTTCCACCAGTAACGTCTCCATGGCAACCGGACATGATCAAGTCATTCAAAGGTCAAATGGAACACAGGACAAATAAAAAGCCCCATTCTGCTAGAGAAAAAAACTGTTAAACATGTTTAACATATTCAACCATTATTTATATATATATCACCCTCCTCATTAATCCTATCACACAAAATAGTGTTAATCCTCATATTATACCCAGTGATCATAATACCTCAATATATTCTAAGCCAAAGGC